GGTGTGTAGTACAGGTGTGTGCAGGTGTGTAGTACAAGTGTGTGCAGCTGTGTAGTACAAGTGTGTGCAGGTGTGTAGTACAAGTGTGTATTACAAGTGTGTGCAGGTGTGTAGTACAAGTGTGTACAGGTGTGTACAGGTGTGTAGTACAGGTGTGTACAGGTGTGTAGTACAGGTGTGTACAGGTGTGTAGTATAGGTGTGTACGGGTGTGTAGTACAAGTGTGTGCAGGTGTGTAGTACAAGTGTGTACAGGTATGTAGTACAGGTGTGCACTACAGGTATGTAGTACAGGTGTGCACTACAGGTGTGTACTACAGGTGTGCACTACAGGTGTGTACTACAGGTGTGTACTACAGGTGTGTACTACAGGTGTGTACAGGTGTGTAGTACAGGTGTGTACAGGTGTGTAGTACAGGTGTTTACAGGTGTGTACTACAGGTGTGTACAGGTGTGTAATACAGGTGTGTACAGGTGTGTAGTACAAGTGTGTACAGGTGTGTAGTACAAGTGTGTGCAGGTGTGTAGTACAAGTGTGTACAGGTGTGTAGTACAGGTGTGCACTACAGGTGTGTACTACAGGTGTGCACTACAGGTGTGTACTACAGGTGTGTACAGGTGTGTAATACAGGTGTGTACAGGTGTGTAGTACAGGTGTTTACAGGTGTGTAGTACAGGTGTGTACATGTGTGTACAAGTATTCAGAGTCATTTCCAGAGGCTGAATCTGGGTTTAGATTGTTGGGAGGAAGAAAAAGACCCTGAATAAAATAATGAACATGTAAAACAGAAGTAGTGTGATACTTCCCATAAACATCCCTCTGAGTGGCTGTGAAAGTGCTGAAGCTGTTCTCAGACCCCCCCCCCCCCCACACACACACACACACACACACACACACACAGACACAACAGGTCAAGTTAAAAAGAATCCCAATAATCTGGCGTTCAGTTGGACGTGTGGACTTTAAGCTGGACTCTTGACTTCACAAACAGAAACTGTTGCAGGAGAAGCTGAAGACGTGAAAACGATCCTCAGGCAGGTTCAAAACCAACAATGACCAGGATGCTTCTTACAAACAGCCGGGGTGGGGGTGGGGGGGGGGGGTGAATCATCATATTTAGTACCGTATCACCAGCCAGTCCACTCCTCCTCCATGTTCCCCGCTGCAGTCCAAACAACCGCATACTGCGATATGGTGTGGTGCACCCTGGACTGCATGCAGCCTGTCTTTTAGAAAGAACTCATCCGTGTGTTGTTCTTTAGATGTTCAATAAGAAGTGCACGACAAAGATGCTGCAGGACGTTTGAGGAAGAGCCAGCCAGGGAGGGAGGTGAAATAATTCCAGCTGCGCCAGAGATGTGCTGCATCATCGTGTTTCAGCCTGCGCTCATGTCTGTCTCTGAAAACCCCGTCTGTGAGCCGGGACCTGATGGAGGACACACCAAGACACCACATGTGTCCCTCAGTGCAGACGTATCTCCAACGATAAGAGAAAAGAACAGCATGGATGGACGGATGGATGGCTGGATGGATGAATGGATGGATGGATGGATGATGGTGAACAGATGGATGGATGGATGGATGGATGATGGATTATTGGAAGAATGGATGAACAGATGGATGGATGGATGAT